ACCAGGTTTTATCATTGATACACACAACCTTCGTAACATAAGATACCTAAATTATGCAGATGGCAGAGAAAAAAAGAAAACTGCAGGAATTCCAAGCCAAATTCGTAAGGAAAAATCCCAAGAAGGTTAACTTTAAGAATCCAAATTCTCCACAGAAAATTGTCCTACAAAACAATAGCCTAGTGGATTTGTTTTTAAGCGTTTCGCCTCAAGCAAGTCAGGAATGCCTCTAGTATGCTGCGGGTTACAGAGAGTGAGAGAAAAAACTGGGTATAAGGAGGATTGAGGAAAGGATAAAAAGATGAACAGGTTTCAAGTCAGCAGAAGATAGCAGTTACATTTAGATTTTTGAAGATCGTAGTTATCAGTGAAGCAACAAAGAGGAAGAGAGTTCCACAGTTAAGAAGAGCGTGAAAAGAAACTGTTGGAGTAGAAGTGGCAGTTACATTTAACTATTTCAACAGTAAAAGGGTGGGACCTCAACGCAAGCTAGTAGCAAGCTTAAATACATGTAGTCAAACCACCAGAGGAAAAGGCTCGTCAGTGCAGTTGCCATGAAAATATTTTTAGAAAGGACAGAGGAAAGCCACATCCCGTCTGTGAGAAAGTGACTGAAGTCAAGATTCCAGGTCAGGATCAATTAGAACCTTCTTTGGATTTTGTCGAGCACCTCGAGATGAACCGCAGGGGTGCCAGACATGATATGGCAACAGTATTCATTGCACAGACGAATGGTAGATTTGTAAATCCGCAAGATGGACTCTGACAAGAAAAAACCTTTTGGCACGACACAGTGAACCAACTTTCCTTGCAATAGATGCAGCTCTTGATTCGATGTAGTTGTTAAACATTCGTGAATTTGATGATATAGTAATTGTTAGTTCAATCCCTGGACCGGGGAGTGTGTACTTGGAAACATGTCGGGAACAGGGCGAAAAAACAAGGTAGGAAACATGGCGGTCAATAACTGATATAGGTAACGGAACGTGAACAGTCTAGGTAGATTAAATAAAGAGTTTAGTTAATGGGTTACCAGGATCTACATTTACTTGATGAAGGCCGGAGAGCACAATTACCGAAACGTTGTGAAAACAACAAAGATGAGAACAATGTAAATAATATATAGATCGGTTGAACTCTCTGCCTTCGGGCGGAGAGGAACCCGAACGAGGCTACGACGAAGGGCGGAGTCTCTTTCGGGGAGGTAAACCGACCCTGAACCCGTTTATACGGGTTCAAAGGGCATATTTTTGGCCGAGCCCACGGACTTGGAGATCCCACGTTAAACCGGGCTTGTGCCACATGATACTCTCGTGGGGGGGGGACTAAATACTGTACCGTCTGAAGTCTTGAGTTCAGTCTGAAGTCTGGAGTGAAGTCCGTCAGGAGTCTGTCAGTCAGTCAGAACGAGTCAGTCAGTCGAGTCAGAGGCAGTCCGAAACAGAATCGCGTTCAGACAATTACTGCAAGACATTGGAATAGTGATATTGGTCGAGACTACATTGTTCTCCCTACTAAACCTGATTGTTCGTACTAACACTTTTCTAACTCTCTGTATATATTCCTGTTTGTAATATATCTCTGTTATTCCATATCCGCCTTCGAGTTCTTCTTTATTGGTTCTACCTTGGACTATCACCGTGGTACAAGGAACCGGACCATAACAAAAACAATGTCTTTAACAAGATGGCCGCCTTAAGTGATCGCGCTTTTTCTCAGATAAACGTTCCGAATTTTTAAATAAGTAAAAAAAAATAATCGTGTCGCGAAGATTATTTGAGATATATTTAACATCAAGAACAACTTTGTAGGGCACAAATGAGGAAAGAAGGTTTGGAAAATCTGATACTCACAGGACAGATTGAAGCCAAGAGGGACAGAGGAAAACAACTATTTAGTGACCTTGAGTAAATAAATGGCGGAACAGGGTTTTGGGGGGAATAAGAAAAAGACAAAATTTATTAAGAGCTACAAAGAACAGGAAATTGTGGAGAGCCATGATCGCTCATAGAAGAAGAAGGATGAACTTGAGCAAATGGATGGCAAAACAGGGTTTAGAAGAAATAACAAAAAAACAAAATTTATTAATAGCTACAAAGTAGAGGAAATTGTGGAGAACTATGAACCCCTACGTCCTGAGCGGTCACGGCATATAGAAGAAGAAGTTAGAGAAAAGGGGAAACAAAAAGGGAAATTAACATCAGAAAGATGCAGCTGGGGTTTCTATGGCACATAATGAGGAAAGGAGGTTTGGAAAATCGGATACTCACAGGACAGATTGAAGGCAAAATGGACCTGAAAACAACGTATAACCTACCTAGAGAGATTGAGCGAATGGATGACGGAATAAGTTTTGGGAGAGATAACAAAAGGACAGGGTTTATTAAGAGTTACAAAGGGCAGGAAGTTGTGGAGAGCCATCATCGTCTACGTCCTGAAGGGACACAGCACATAAAGAAGACGCTAGAGAAAACGGAAACAAAAAGGAAACTTAACCTTAACATCAAGAAGAGACAATTGAAATTGTTATGGTAGATAATGAGGAAAGAGGGTTTAGAAAATCTGATACTCACAAGGCAGATTGAAGCCTAGAGGGTCAGAGGAAAACAATTACTTAGTGAGCTTGAGTACATGGATGGCAGAACAAAGTATAGGAGAGATAAGAAAATTTATTAAGAGCTATGAAGGACAGGAAATTGTGGAGAGCCATGATCGCTTATGTCATGAAAGGATACAGCACATAAAGAAGTTAGAGAAAAGGGAAACAAAAACCCTTGTAATAAACATCATAAAGAGGCAGCTGAAATTTCTAGGGCACATAATGAGGAAAGAGGGCTTAGAAAATTGGACACTCACAGGACAGATTCAAGGCAAGAGAGACAGAGAAAAAACAGCGTATAACCTTGAGTAAATGGATGGTGGAACAGTGTTTAGGAGAAATAACAAGGAGAGAAATTTTATTAAGTGCTATTAAGGACAGGAAATTGTGGAGAGCCATGATCGCTTATGTCTTGAAGGGATACAGCATATAAAAAAGAAGTTAGAGGAAATGGAAACAAAAAGGAAAATTATCTAAAGATCGGGAAGACAGCTGAAATTGCCATGGAACATAATGAGGAAAGAGGGCTTAGAAAATCTGACACTCACAGGACAGATTGTAACCAAGAGGGACAGAGAAAAACAACAGATGACATATTGAGCTTGAATACAAGGATAACGCACCAGCATCCTTCTGTAGAAACACGTTTCTGTTACTTCAAGTCCCTTCTTCATCTTTGAGGATATTGGACAGCATTCAGCCATATAGAATGACTGCTGTTTCATAACACTGCTTATTTTTGAAAGGCAGCTTTCGCCATCCCAATGTAACTTCGGATTTCAGTGTCACACTTTCTGTCCTCTGTTAAAACACTTCCCAGATATTTAAATTATTGTACTTCTTTGATTTTGGTATCTCCAATTATTAATTTGTATGTTGGACTCTTCCTTTTTGCTAACCAACCATGTATTCATTCTGTGGTCAGCTTTTGGAAGGTATCTTTCGCCATCCCAATGTAACTTCGGATTTCAGTGTCACACTTTTCTGCCCTCTGTTAAAACACTTCCCAGATATTTAAATTATTGTACTTGTAATGCATTCTGTCTTCTTATAGTTGATTTTTACTCCTTACTTTTCCCTTTCCTTCACTTCATCTCCGTTGGAGATTTTTTGTGGCATTCTTTCTCCAGTTATGGATTAAACAACAAGGTAGACTAGATTCTCTAGCTTTGACGTGACAAGCTGTCCAGTAGAAGGAAAACTCTGATTTCAAAACCAGCCTGATAAAGGTTAGGTTATCAGGCCATTTTGTCCAAGACACACTATGGCTGGAGTGAATGTTTTTCTTCTACGATCCAATGGAATATAAGAATCATGACGTGGGAAGCGAGCCGTACAAAAAAGGGATCGTGCTGAAGGTAGCGGTGATAGTAATTGAAGGAAATTAATTAATCATGCTGATATTTGGTACACAAGACTACAAAAGACGAAAGTCTTTATAGTGAAAAAAAATCAATAAATATCCCGCAAAATGAAAACAGGTGAATCGATTGATTTTCAGTGGTATAGGGATTTATTTTGGGATTTAGCGAAGACATAATCATGCTTCATTTTAAAAAACTGATTGCATTTAAAACCACATTAAGGACTTAGATGTTAAAAATTGAATAAATTAACTCGTACGAACACGGACAAAAAAAAACTCTTTTTTTACCATTTCACCTCAAGCAAGGCAATAAAGCCACTAGGATGCAAGGGGCTTACTGAGTGTTAGAGAATATGAGAAACATTACTATTAAGGAGAGAAGACAATAAAAGAACAAGAATTAAGAAGACAGAAGATAACGATTGACATTGCATTTAAATTTTTGAAGATCAAAGGCAATAAAGCCACTAGGACGCAAGAGGGTTACTGAGTGTTAGAGAATATGAGAAAAACTACTGTTAAGGAGAGAGGACAATAAAAGAACAAGAATTAAGAAGACAGAAAATAACGATTGACATTGCATTAAATTTTTTGAAGATCAAAATTAACAGGAAGATGAAACGAAAGCGAGAAGTGCGATAGAAGAAATTGTTTGCATAGAACTTACGGTTGCATCTAGTCATTCCCATTTTGCCATTTCAACAGTAAAATGATGAGACCTAACCGCCAATCTAGTATTGCGATTAAATTCATAAAGTCTTGGTACCATAGGGGAAGATTCATCAGAATAATTCCCATGGAAGCATTTATAGACACATAGAAACTACGTAGCGGCGGTGGGAAAGTAACCGAAGCCGAGATGCCATATCAAGTCCCATAACATTGCAGATTCTTAGGATTTTATCAAGAATCTCTAAATATTTAATAGGAGAAGCCGACCATGTATGGCAGCAATATTCAAAGCATGGACGAATGGTAGACCTATATGTAAGACAGATTCTGGCTTGAAAATATGTCTAGCACGATACAGTGAACCTGATAGATAGATAGATAGATAGATAGATAGATAGATAGATGAAGATAGATAGATAACAGAATGAATAGATAGATAGATAGATAGATAGATAGATAGATAGATAGATAGATAGATAACAGAGTTAAGTAGATAGCTGCTGACTTGGCAATTGATTCAATCGGAAGGGATTTCCACGAAGTGCGGGAAAAGAAACTGCTGGAGTAGAAGTGGCGGTTACATTTAACTATTTTAAAAGTAAAATGGTGGGACCTAAATGCCAATCTAGTAGCAAGCTTAAATTCATGAAGTCGCGGCATCAGGGAAAGCAGATTGTCAGTGAAGTTACCATGAAAATATATGTAGAAAAGTTAAAGGGAAGCCTCGTCACGTCGATGAGAAAATGACTGAAGTCGAGATGCCTGGTTAGGATCGATTATATTATAAACCCGTCTCTGGGTGTTTTTCAAGAATTTCGAGACGTGCAATAGGACCATTCGACCAGATATGGCAACATTATTCAATAGACGACAAGAATGATTTCAGCACATTCCCCAAAGACCGATTCCAGAGACGTAAAAATTGAAATTTCCTCCAGTTTAACCATTTGCATTTCAGTAGACATAAAAACACAACACGATAAGAAAGAAATTCGAAATAACTGTATTTATTTTCGATCTTTTTCTAAAGAACAATCAAATATATTTTCTGTAGAAAAGGCAAATTGACTTAACTGGAGTTTTTCTATTGTTGCTCGAGTGATATTAATATAGCTTCATTTTTGTTTTGGAGTTTTTTTTTTCGTTATATTCAGGAAAGATTTATTTACTCTTCGCTAGGTCTGTGTATATTCAGGTGCTTTTCAGTTTACTGGTTTGAGAAATTATTCCAAGGAAAATCCAGACTAATGCAATGAAAATAAAGGCTAAAAACAAAAACCTGCGAATATATATATATATATATATATATATATATATATATATATATATATATATATATATATACATACGCAGGTTTTTGTTTTCATGTGATATGAAAAAGCTAGAGATAGATTTGGGAACAGACTGAAAAATGAAAGAAAAAGTGATATGAACAGATTGAGATAAATAGATAGATATAGCTAGATAGATAGATAATGAAAAAAAATAGATAGATAGATAGATAGATAGATAGATAGATAGATAGATAGATAGATGTCATTTACTTGAGTATAAATTACAGTAGCCAGCTTGTAAAGTTGGCAGCTTAAATTCACATGGAGACACAATCCCCACCTCTTCCTCGCGCTTTATGGAGGCCTCGAACACAGCAGTCGCCGTAAATCGGCGCCCTTTTTGGAAAGTTTCAGTAACACGAAGCAACGCCCATTAATCTCTCCGTTCGTTTAGACATCGCAGCGTAAAATCAACACCAACCCGGACGACATGAACAAGTGAGGAACTATTTCTGATGAGAGAGATGCAAGATTCACAGACAAGTCGCTCTGTCTAACTCAGTCAGTAACCATCTGTATATCCCGATTTGTTTACATATCTATCTATCTATCTATCTATCTATATATATATATATATATATATATATATATATATATATACATCGGTCTGTTCATATCACTTTCTTTCTTTTTCCCTCTGTTCACATACCTGTCTATCTATCTATCGATCTCAGTCTGTTTATTTTCGATCTATCTATCTATTATGATCTCTTCATTAGCTATGTCTATCTCTCTCTACATATATATATATATATATATATATATATATATATATATCCATCTAACGCGGTCTTTTCATATGACTTTCCCCTTCCTTTCTCGCTATGTTCACATATATATCTATCTATCTATCGCAGTCTATTTATTATCTATCTATTTCGGTCTATTCATTAGATCTCTTTTTCTCTCTATCTCTTTCTCTCTCTCTCTCTCTATATATATATATATATATATATATATATATATATATATATAGTCAATATTATTTTATCTGCTATTTGCCATCATTCTTCGCTCTCATTCTTGATCGATCAAATAAATCCGTTGCTGCCATAGCCGCTAAAAATAATCCCCTTTTCGTTAGATTATGGAATACTGCATTATACGTCTGCTATTTGCACATTGATTCCATATCTGCATTTAGATTGACATGTAATCTCACTGCACAGTTATAATTTATCAGTTTCCTGTTCGTCAGCTTGCATAGCAATTAATAGATAGATAGATAGATAGATAGATAGATAGATAGATAGATAGATAGATAGGAACAGACTCAGATAGATAGATTGTAGCATTAAAAGAATTTATTAGTAAATCCGTTACCGCTTACCCAATATATGTTAAGATAATGCAATAGACTTTGCTATCCATAATGCACCATCGACCAGCATATATAAATAGTCGAGCTACTTTCACACAGACACACACACACACAAGTAAATACCACACACAGACACACAAACATATATATATATATATATATACATATATATATATATATATATATATATATATATATATATATATATATATATATCAGGTCATCCCATAAGTTCTGTCCGAATTTTAACTTTTTTAAAAATGAACGAAATTTAAAGTGTATTTTATAATGGCTAATGGAGCTGAACATCATTTTTATGTTTAGATGCATTTAAACTGATCAAATTTTATTTCAGAGAACAATAAAATTAAATTTGTTTGATTAAAAACCTGCTAACATGGAAGTACCCAAGAATCATTTGAGGCACATAATGCTTTATGAGTTCAAGAAAGGAAACTCAGCAGCCGAAGCGGCTAGAAACATTCACTCAGTTTATGGAGAGGAATGTGTGAATGAAAGAACTTGCAGAAGATGGTTTGCAAAATGTGGAGGTGGAGATTTCACCCTTGAAGATGAAGATCGAACCGGACGTCCAGTTGAGTTTGATGAAAAGCTTCTTGAAGCAGCCCTTGAAGAAAATCCTGCTTTATCAGTTGAGGAATTGGCAGTGGTTCTCAGTTCAAACCATACAACTGTTCATCATCCTCTTCAACAACTTTGAAAAGTTCCTAAACTTGGAAAATGGGTGCCTCATGAATTGTCTGAAAACAACCTCAAATCCTGAGTTGACATCTGCTCTTCTCTCCAACTTGTTTCACCTTTTTTGGATAGACTTGTGACTGGCGACGAAAAATGGATCTTTTATCGAAATGTTAAGCGTCGTAGACAGTGGCTTGGTAAAGGGGAAGGACCCCAGCCACAGCCGAGAAGGGAACGTCATGTTCAAAAGGTTCTTCTTTCAATCTGGTGGGATCGCCAAGGAATAATCCACTTTGAATTCTTATCACCTAATGCAACAATTAATGCTCAAATATACTGTCAGCAATTAAAGCGTTTGAACCAAGCTTTGAGGAAAAAAAGACCTGCTGTAGTGAATCGACAAAAGGTGATGTTTCATCAGGACAATGCGCGACCCCACACAGCAAGAATCACGTCACAAAAGATCGAAGAACTTGGTTGGGAGAAAATTCCTCATTCACCTTATTCTCCCGATCTTGCTCCATCAGACTACCATTTGTTTCGTAGCTTACAGAATCATTTGGAAGAAACAGGTTTTGTAACACAGGAAGAGGTTAAAACTGACATTTGTGAGTTCTTCGAATCAAAGCCAAAAGAATTTTACAGTAATGGAATTAGTAAGCTTGATAATAGATGGAAGGAAGTCATAGATAATCAGGGAAAATACATTGTTGATTGAATCTGTAATTAAATGTAACATTTGGTCACTTGTTTTCTTTATTCAAAATTCGGACAGAACTTATGGGATGACCTGATATATATATATATATATATATATATATATATATATATATTATGAAATTGTCCGACAGTTATCATTTATTTTAATATATTTATTGTTTATACGTGATTTTTATTGATACAAATATTTAAGTAAATGCTTTATTTATTATAAACAGTATTAACAATTAATTATTATTTTTAAATTTACCAGCCTAAATGTCCGAGAAATTTTAAGAGAAAATATGCGTCCTCCGACAGGAATCGAACCTGTATCCTAAACGGAACCGTCATACAGTTTAACGTGCTGTGTCATTTAGCTACAGGGGAAGCGTCTGGTTAGCAAGGTCGAATTACTGCTTTTAAACTATAAAGCAACTCTACGAAGTTTAGTACGGCTCATGATCAAACATAATAAACATTCGTTGTCTGTTATATTTAACAGTATATTTTTGAATAATAATCTTCTGCTGCCTAATACAATATATATATATATATATATATATATATATATATATATATATATATATATATAATATTTTTTGTTTAAAAATATGGTTCTTTCACTACATAAGAGTTCTCTTCAAAAACGAGAGCCGAAACATCCAAATAATTATTAAAATTAAGTTGAATTGTTTTAGTGTTTAGTCCCGTTTCATCTTCAAGCGAAATTTTAGGAATAAGCTATCTCTTGGTTTACGTGGGTTTTTAAGCATGGTTCGTTATAACATTCGTTATTGTGGAAGTGGCTCGTCGAGTCATCTTGGTTAAGTGGTCAGAGAGTTAATTCTTATATATATATATATATATATATATATAGAGAGAGAGAGAGAGAGAGAGACTTGCGTAAATATCGCACATGTACAGTAACATAATATTGCATAATTATTTTTATTTTTCTGTTTTTTATTTATTTTTATTTTTTATTTATTTCTATTTTTTATTTTATTTTTATTTTTTGCAGATGATTCGAGCCGTTCAATCAGAAGCATCACTGTACGGCTCCCCTGTCTCGCCGAGAAGGTTTACAGCCGCTATAGAGACACGGGCAGCCCAACCGAAGGCATACGGCCTACACTCAAAGGTGAGGGGATTGGGGATAGGTGTGGGTGACAGGAAGAGACGCCTAATAAGAATTCAGGCTTCGAATCAAGAAGAGTATTGATTTTTCATATTTTCAAGAATGACGTGATGAGGGGAGAAGGGAGTGGCGTAAGGAATTGGGATGCGGGAGTGGGGTGGGGTATGTACGAAGGAAAAACTTGGAAGGCAAGATGTAAGGCAAGAAAGAGAGAGAGAGAGAGAGAGAGAGAGAGTGGTCTTTAAAAAAGAAAGAAAGAAATGGCATCAGGTGAAAGAAAAAGAAGCAAGGAAAAGGAAATAAAAAAGCATAAAAAGGGAGATAACAAAGGAAAGAAAAAGAAGAAGAAAACGAAAAGGCAAAAAGAAAGAAAGGAACAAACAATGAAAGCAGAGAAAATGAAAGATAAATAAGCAAAAAGAAATAAAGAAAGCATAAAAGAAGAGACAACGAAAAAAAAAGAAAAAGAAATCCTAATACGCAAAAAGAAAGAAACAATAAAAACAGAGAAAATGAAAGACAAACAAATAATCAAGAAGAAAGAAAGAAAGAAAGAGGCAAGAAAAGAGAAAATAGCAAGAAAGAAAAAGAAATGATTATTTAAAATGAAATACAAACAAACATACAAAAAGAAAGAAACGAGACAAAATAAAAAGAAAGAAAAAAGACAGAAAAAGGATATCGACAGAAAGAAATACAATGGAATAAACAAAAAAAAAGCAAACAAACAAGAAAGAAAGAAAATAGAAAGAAAGAAAAGAAAAAAAATGGATGCCAAAGAAAAAAGTACTTCCATAAAAAAGAAAGAAAAAACTAAGCAAAATAAAGCAAGAAAGAGAAAAATGCAAAAAGAAATTCTAAACTACTTAGGTTAAAAATAAAAGACAAAAGATACCGTCGAATAAAAAGAACGATAAACTAAGTAAAAAGAAAGAAATCTTACATAGATAGATGGATAGTTTTAGAAAAAGAAATTATAGCCTCGCAAACATTAAGAATGGGTCCAGGAAGTGCGTAAATAGAACTGAATGGGAAAAAGAGAAATTGGAAACGGAGAAGAATTAAAAGAACGAAATATGAAGGAGAAACAAGAAAGATTATTCGAAAGAACTTCAAACGCCAGCGAATAAAGAAAATAAAATCAAGAAAAGAAAAATGCTGAGAAATCTGGAAAAAGCAAAAAACAATGACTCGAAAAACGAAGAAAAGAAGAAATTAAAAGGAAAAGAGAAGACGCCATTTTTCAACTTCAAAAATCAAGACTAATGCAAATATGGCGGCTCTATTTATAAAAAGAAATAATAAATAAAATATAAACATAATAATAAAGAAATAAAAAGATACATCAATTTGCTCAGTTTGGTATTCAAATATATTCCGACATAAACATTATTAGTAGCAAGAAAAACGTCAAATGATTTTCGGTTGACTGAACTATAAGGTCTGAACTGAAGAAAACCTGTTTCGTGGCATTGAAGTTAAGCGAATCCGTAAACGAAGATTCTAAAACCAGAAATTGCCAATTTTTTTCGATTTGTCTATATTTAAGTTACATTCATTCTTTTTCGCTGCAATTAATTTCACAGGTTATCACTGAAAATAGAAATGCAATTTAATTGAAAATATAAGAAAAATAAAAGATATTTTTTTTTTATTATTACTATCAAAGTTATGAACCCGAATACACAAAAAAGAAAAGGTTAATTTTTTTTTAAGTAGAAAAGTTTTTAAAAATAAAATTGCATCAATGGACATTTGGTTTTAAATTCACCTCTTAGCGTGTGTCATTTAAGATCTTTAGATTATTTTTTTCAAAAAAGAACAAAGATTGTAAAAAGGCTTAAAGAGAAATCATTTACTTCAACATAAAAGCAACGTGCTATCGAAAAAATATATATATAATCATTTTTTATTTACTACGCATTGGGGAAATCATTCTCTGGATATTTTCTTTTGTTTATATGCCAAATATCTCCAAGACAAGGGAGATCATTACTTTCCACCACTTCTGTCTTTTGGTACACCAAATAGCGTTTGACCCTGTCCTCTATTCCCTTATTAAGCAAATGAACACTAATTATTAATCTTAACTCTGTCCCATAATAATTGTGACATTTAGCACATGAAATGTGTGTTAAAATGTATCAATTCTTATGGGACAGATGTTGGATGTCTTTGAAAAAACTTCTAATTATTATTCCTACCTCTATCCCATAATAATTGTAACATTTAGCACATGAAATGTGTATGAAAATGTATCAATTCTTATGGGACAAATGTTGGATATCTTTGAAAAATCTTCTGATTATTATTCCTACCGCTGTCCCATAATAATTGTAACATTTAGCACATGAAATGTGTATGAAAATGTATCAACATTTATGGGACAGAGGTTGGATGTCTTTGAAAACTCTTCTAATTATTATTCCTACTTCTGTCCCATAATAATTGTTACATTTAGCACATGAAATTTGTATGAAAATGTATCAACATTTATGGGACAGATGTTGGATGTCTTTGAAAACTCTTCTAATTATTATTCCTACTTCTGTCCCATAATAATTGTTACATTTAGCACATGAAATTTGTATGAAAATGTATCAACATTTATGGGACAGATGTTGGATGTCATTGAAAATTCTTCTGATTTTTTTCCTGCCTTTGTCCCATAATAATTGTGACATTTAGCACATGAAGTGTGTATGAAAATGTATCAACTCTTTTGGGACAGAGGTTGGAAGTCTTTGAAAAATCTTCTAATTATTATTCCAAACTCTGTTCCATAATTCTCGCTTGGCAATACCAGGTTCTGGAGTCTTGGATGTGTTGATGGCGCAATGGATAATGACTTAGTATTCTTAATTAAAGACCTGAGTTCCAAAAACCGGTTAACCAGCTTAATTGTTCTGTGGGTGATTTAAAGAATCTCTCAAAAAGATTTACTATATATACAATTACTCAAAAACGGAAAAAAAATCGTATGAGCCAGCCTGTACCTTTTACAGGTCAAGGTTATCTCCCCTCTTGACTCGGCTGAGAACTTTTTTTATCTGACAGTCGTGAATATCACTGGAGCGTTGACTAGGTCTACCCCTATTAAATGGTGGACAGTCTTGTATATAATTGTAAGCGAAATGAGTAAGAATAAATAAATACACATGTCGCAAGGCTTGTTCCTTTTTCACCGCAGCAGCGTCGATAAAAATAATGATATATATCTGGAAGCCATCAGGTGATCAATATGCAACGAAGCACTGATTAATGGCATTTGCATATCGAGAGAATCGTTCCAAACGGCTACTGGAGAAGGTAATGATGGCTTGCAACGCGGGTGAACTTGCTATTGCATCATATCGGGCACCACGATTAGATATATCCGGGCCACTTTACTTTCAGAGAAAATCACATTGAGAAATGAAAATGGAGTAGGAAAAAGAAAGCAGAAATCAATAATTGCCGCCAAACCGCTTCTACTTGGTATATATATATATATATATATATATATATATATATATATATATATATATATTTATGTATATGAGTTTGTGACCCTGTCTTTCACACTTTCGCGATCATCAGACAAAATCGTTTTTGCGATGATCAAACTCGTCTGATGATAGCAAAACCGTGAAACCCAAGGTTACAAACTCACATACAACTTTCCACGAAGTATTGATAATATATATATACAGTGTAACCCGGATATAAGAGAGTTGTCGAGACCGGATAAGAAGTCTCTTATATCCGGGTTTCTCTTATATCCGGGTTTGGTCTGTTTTGTTTAGGTAAGTATGGGCTCTAATTTGGGACCAGAGAAAATCTCTCTTATATCCGGGTTTCTCTTATATCCGGGTTTCTCTTATATCCGGGTCTCTTATATCCGGGTTACACTGTGTGTATATATATATATATATATATATATATATATATATATAGAGAGAGAGAGAGAGAGAGAGAGAGAGAGAGAGAAGGCACGGTGGAGTAATGACTGGATAGCGGCTTGGATTGAGGAATCGCAGAGCCGAGTTCGAATTCCAGTCGAATCCATTGCATTCACTTACGTGCTAATACCCTTGGGAAGGTGTGAATCCTCTTCTTCTCTCTCCAGCTATGGGTAAAATAGCAGGACAGACTGGGTTCTATAGCCTTGGATGGCAACTGGTCTAGGAGAAGGACAACTCTGAATTCAAAAGCTGCGGAGGGTCGTTTGGGGACCTTGTGGCACGTAGTGCACCAGGTCTCTGTATTCGGCCCTTCAAAAAGTGTGGATGGTCCTGCACGAAACCTTCATCAGTGGGCCTACATTAAGTGCTTTGAGGAGATAGTGTTGGTCAAGAGGAAATCCAAGAGAATTAAAAGAGTTCCAGAAATGGTTCCATCAATGAAAACAACGCTGGATCAAGAGTGTGACTTCAGAAGGGGACTACTTCAATGGAGATTAAATGCCGAATTGATATGTACTGTAGTTTTTTTATATCACCAGTGCGAATAATTTTTCATCAAACTTCGTATATATGACTCCATCAATAAAAATATCATTTAATCTGAAGAAGTCGTTTTGAAGAACGAAACGCCTTCGATAGATAGATAGATAGATAGATAGATAGATAGATAGATAGATGAAAAGACTGAGATATTACAGCAACAAAAAATATCATTTAATCTGAAGACTTTTTGAATGATGAAATACGTTAGATAGATAGATAGATAGATAGATAGATAGATAGATAGATAGATAGATAGATAGATATGAACAGAATGAGATATCTAGCTCGCTAGATAGATAGATATGAGCAGAATGAGATAGCTAGCTAGCTAGCTAGATAGATAGATAGATAGATAATGAACAGAATGAGATAGATAGATAGATAGATAGATAGATAGATAGATAGATAGATAGATAGATAGATACTTATGAACAGAATGAGATAGCTAGCTAGATAGATAGATATGAGCAGAATATGATAGATAGATAGAGATAGATAGATATGAACAGAATGAGATTGTGTTTACAGTGTGTGATATTTCTTGATATGTAATGTTTTTAAACACAATCCCCTGATAATACCCGTATTGACCCCAGGGCATAAAAGGAGGCACCTGTCAATTCCGCATTGATAAAATGCCATTCCATTCAAGAGGAAAACGGAAATAAAGGGAGTTTCTTTTCCTAATTTCTTGAATCGCACGATCAGGCGTTGTTATTCACTGGCCCGTCAAGGCTCAGTGCAACAAAAAAAAATCTAATCTCAAATCATTTTTTTTAAATCCCCGAAAGACAAGCTCTCATTCTATCTTAACCACGTCTCTCCACACTACGTCCTTCCCCCCCCCATCTTCTTCTTCTTCGGTATTTTTCCTTATTTCTCTTCTTTTTTTATTCCTTTTTAATATCTCTTTCTCTCTCTTTTACGCTTTCCTTCTTCCTTTTCTTCTTACGTCCCTTTCACTGTTTGTCTTCTTCCTCTCTCTTCTATATAAATAAATGCGAATGTCAGTGTGTCACACTTTTTCAACTTTACTCCTAGAGGCCGTAGCCCAACATATGATACCATTTTGGAATCAGGCCGACTTTGTGAGTAAATTAAAAATATTCCGTGCCAGATCCGGACCCGCAATCGCGAAATTTTGGATTTCCTGGTTTTCATTGCTACCATTGTTTTCGAATTCCGCCATATTGGTTTCTACTAATAAAACCATTAAAGGGACACAACTCTCTAACTTTCAATAGCTCACGTTCAAATGTAAAACATGTTCTTCTCAAATTACAGTGTTTCAAAATAAAATTGTCCGCGTTTTAAACTTTATTCCTAGAGTCTGGAACCCAACATATCATACCATTTTGGAATCAGGCTGATTCCGTGAGTAAATTAAAAACATGCCAGACCGAATCTGGACACGCAATCCTGATATTATTGGATTCTCAAGTTTTCATTACTGCCATTGTTTTCAGCGATTTTTTATATGATTTTTTGCGATTAATTTTTTTGCACGATAACATTTTTTAACTTGGAAATAAATTTGGGAATAATCGAAATTAATGGCGAAATCAAGCGAAAGTCACCCATGAAATAAAAATAAGTGTTTGTACGAAAAGTAAGGCCCTACGTACATCAAATTGTCTTTGAATTAAATGGTGGCAGAATTATCGTTGAACTTAAAAATGTAAGCTTAAATATTAAATTAATACTTAAATGCGCCGATCAATTTTGGGTATATCGCATACAGCAGCAGTATGCCTTGCAAAAAGAAATCTCTGCCAACAGAGGACCAGATTGCAATCAAAAGAGCCAAGACTGCAGCAAGGAAAAGAAAGTCCGGCGCAAATTAGAACACGGATCAAACGGCAGCCAGAAGAGCTTCAAATGCTGAGAATATGCAAATATTTTGGGACTTTTCAAACTCCTGAGCAATATGAAGGCCCAATCAAGAGCTCAAGAATATTTTCTATGACAATTTCTCGGACATTCAGGCTGGTAAATGTTGTTAATATTGTTTATTATAAGCTGAGCATTTACTTAAATATTTGTATCTATAAAAAGAATGTATAAACATAAAAATGTCTTAAAATAAATGTCGGACTTTGTCCATTTCATAATATATATATACATATATCGTTTATCGTTGCTTAGAAATCATCTATGTAAACATTGACAGACTATCATCACTGTCTTGTCCGTATATTGCTTAATATGTTGTAATTGACATCTTTGATAATGGCTGAAGCTTAGATTGTATTAAAAAAAATATGGATCAATATTGTGAATTTCTTTCTTCGTTCAACGATCATGTTATTAAACTTATCAGACGTTACGAAAAAAAATACATAAAATAAATAGACAACACTTGTCTATATTATTTAATGACACGTGTATGAATGAAAAGATGCTGCCTAAATACACACAATATCTTACTTATTATAAAACGCAGATTGTGTGTGTGTGTGTGTGTGTGTGTGTGTGTGTGTGTACGTTTATATATTGGATCGGATTTCCTACATTTTTCAACCGATTTCACCAAAACTTCACAGGTCTGCATAAAATTACCTTGCGGTGGTTCTGACAGCGCCAAAAATTGTTTTTACACGAAATCAATTTGAAAACACGATAAAACATGATTCTGTCACCAGAATGAAAAGGGGACAACTCATATCGAGTTATACTTATAAAAGCCAGGTTGTTTGTGTGTATGTTAGTTTATATATGGGATCGGATTTCCTACATTTTTCAACCGATTTCAACAAAACTTCACTTTTTTTTTTGGCAGGTAGTGTTTCTTATTGTCTTGTACACTTTTTTCTTTATTTTTACATTCAGAATGCTTTACAAGACAATTGTTTATAATAAAATTCTATTCAATCGATAGACTCATAACGATTGAAAACAATGTTTTTGTTTGAGTTTGGGTTTGACCAATTCGTAAAAAAAAAACAAAACAAAACTAATTAAGACATGCATGTCCATCAACCTTAAACAATAATCTTTGTCAATTTTATTCTTTAGTCTTTATGATGGACGATACTTGATCTATCTCTTACTGTTACATCCCCGGGCAACGCTGGGCTCTCCTGCTAGTATATATATATATATATATACATATATATATATATATATATATATATATATATATATATATATATATATATATACAAATACATACACACATACATATATGCATACATACACACCATATACATATCTATATAAATATACATACATATACCCGTACGCAATAAAATAGTATAAAAAGTGTATCTACGCATCCGACCTCGACCTCAAGCGTCACATGCGGACACAAAGATGTTGACTTGCTATCAAGCACCTCGTCCTCAGACATCTAACATTGTGTTGAATTTTTTCCTCGCCATGCTGTAGACAGGCGATTGATTCGTTTTCTACGGGTTATCAACCCTTTGTAGGTTATTTAAAGCCAGAAACTATTTTTAGATTGTAAGAATTCTTTTGAGATAATAATGGTTTAGTGATACAAGTACTGCTAATTAACCCATATCTGAGGGGAGAGAAGTGGATTCATACCTTTCCCATAGGTATTTGCACGTAAGGGTATATAAAGCACCCTAAGAGAATTGGAACCCGTCTGTCTGATTAACAATTCTGAGCAATTATACATTACACCACCCGCACATCAATGCTTACAGCACCTGGAATTTCCAAGCGGTCACTATCAATTTTACCTGTGTTTCAGTGTGATATGGTCTTAAAACTTTATACCGCCTGCACATCCAAGATTGCAACACCTGCTGTTACCGAACGATCTCTCATCTAGATACTGACCAGGCTCGACGTTGCTTAACTTCAGTGATCGTACTGAAACCAGAGTTATAACGTGATATGTCCGTAAGCGTCTTTGAGAAATGATTGAACCAGTCAGTGAATGATGAAGATAATGGTGGCAAGTTCTTTAAAAAAATATCAGGATGGAAATTTAAAAAGAGATTTTTAGGAAGTTGGTCGGACCGAGAACTTTTCATAATCGGTTTTCATAAAACAAATTAACAAAGATCGTTCCAAATTTAAGCTTCGGTTTGTTAAAAATCAGGCGGCGACCACAACGTTAGCTTAATGCAATAAGACAACGTGACGCCCTCTTCCGGCAGTCATCTATATAATGGCGTCAAAGTATTTCATGCACACAATATTAATAATTGATTTGCTGTCGCCCTGATATTATTGATTTAGCAGTAAAATAACTCCATTCCTATTGACTGAGTTCCGCAACCATAAAAATATGAAATTTGATATATATATATATATATATATATATATATATATATATATATATATACTATTTATGCTCTCGAAATAATTCGATTGAGATCTTCGAGAGGAAGGGGTGATTTTATAAGCAGTGGTTGCTGCTGCTAATGCAATGCTCTCCTACTCGAATCTAGGTCTCCTAGCTACTGACGTCTTTCGCATAGTAAAAACGTTAAAATCTCCCTCCAACTCTGCCGTGCGACGATACTTTGGGGGTAGTATCTCTGACTGATGTCAAATCGGTCGGGTTTCGAGCACGGTTTGAAACACTCGGATGTCTAGTCACACTGATGAGCTGTGATACAGCGAAACAGTCTGTCTCTAGATTAATATATATATATATATATATATATATATATATATATATATATATATATATAGTCATCCAGAGACAGACAAATTCACGTACGATTACCGAAGTTAAGCAACGTGGAGGCTGGCTAGTTTCTAGATGGGTGACCGCTTGGGAATACCCAGTGCAGTAAGCTTGCTTGTACGGTTTGTATAAAGGGCTTACGGCCATATCACGTTGGTTTGTAAATTTAGGGACATGGTGGTTGTGAGTTCAATTTCTCTGTCGGGCAATGTCCACTTGCACTCAGTGGATACAGACAGTAAATGGCCGCTTGGGAATATCAAGAGCTGTAAGCATGGATGTATGGGTTGTATGAAGGGCTTATGACCATATCTTGTTGAAACACAAAGATGAGGACAATAATACGGATAAAATAGTGTAAATAATTATATCTCCTTATCCAAGAATTTAATTCCATGTAGGTTACCCAGATCTGATGAAGGCCGGAGGACATAACGTTGTGATAACCCAAAAGATGAGGGAAACGTTGTGATTTAACAACAACAAAGATGAAAGGACAATAGTCCGAATATAAATAGTGTAAATAATTATATCTCCTTATCCAAGAATTTAATTCCATGTAGGTTACCCAGATCTGATGAAGGCCGGAGGACATAACGCCCGAAACGTTGTGATAACAACAACAAAGATGAGGACAATAGTCCGAATATAAATAGTGTAAATAATTATATCTCCTTATCCAAGAATTTAATTCCATGTAGGTTACCCAGATCTGATGAAGGCCGGAGGACATAACGCCCGAAACGTTGTGATAACAACAACAAAGATGAGGACAATAGTCCGAATATAAATAGTGTAAATAATTATATCTCCTTATCCAAGAAATTAATTTCCTGTAGGTTACCCAGATCTGATGAAGGCCGGAGGACATAACGCCCGAAACGTTGTGATAACAACAACAAAGATGAGGACAATAGTCCGAATATAAATAGTGTAAATAATTATATCTCCTTATCCAAGAATTTAATTTCCATGT